GATTTTTCTTTTTCTTTTTTTCTTGATGAATCCTTTAACCAATTGGATCTCCATGATGTGGAAAAAATTTGGTTAAGGGCTGATGATTTTATAGACAAATTATGTACTCTCATGAAAAAAATCTGGCTGAGGGACAGGGTTACAAGAAAAATTCAGCTTAAGGCCAGTGTGATGGCAATGACTTACAACTGCACAAAGCTTTTGGAGGAAGAAGACTTGACTGAATGGGTATTTAGGAAGTGGCTGTCTGTTGCATCATTTCCACCAGTAAATGAGGGTGTAACGTAACATCTGTCAGCCATGACTGGAAGAGCACTGGCTCCAGTAATGACCTCATTTCAGTGATCAGCATCTCTTTCCTGCCCACTGTGAGTGAGAGTGCAGGTTATGTTACAGTAAATTAAATAATATGAAAAATATTAAAAATGACAAACAACAAAATGTTCCTTATTGCTATAATTATTGGACTTAGTTATAGACTACTTAGAGAGATGATATGGAGTCTGTGTAAGGAAAACAGTCCATTAATATCTTGATACTGCATATCAAATAACAGACAGTGACTGGGACCCAATGCTTGGGATCACCCGTGTTGGACCTCAAACCTCAACTCAATTAATTTTGCATAGTCTTTTCTTCTTTCCAGTTCTTTCTCTTCAACCCCTACTGTCGACTCCCTAAGGTGTGAGGGCTGTGTTGATAGCAAGAAAGGCTGACTTTGGTCCAGTTATGAATGGCCATGGGAGCCAAGCCCACAGATTTAAATTCTCCCAATTACCTGACCCCAGGCTCTTCTTTAATCATGCCTCTGAACACTGCTACTACTACCCCCACCTCCATACCTATGATCACCTTAGTCCGGTCCAAAACATCCAGGAAACACTCCTCTCCCAACAACCTATACTTCATCTCCTCCACCCCCCAATCCCTTCCCTGTTGTTGTCGTGGGGGGGCTTAGGAGACGGAGTCCCAACGCAGGTATCTCCCCTGTTTAGGCCCTCGACTCAACTAATTTTGCATGGCTTTTTCTCCCTCCCGCTTTCTGTTTCCATCCCTTCTCCAACCCCAACTATCTCCAACTATCTACTTCCTAAGGTGTAAGAGCCATGCTGAAAGGTTGAAAGGCTGACCTTGTGCCAGTCCTGAACGGCCTGTAGGAACCATGGGCATGGTATTCCCCTGATTTAGTTGTCTAGCCCTTGCCTCCTTAAGGGGCACTAAGGGGGTGTAGCTGTGTCTTTCTTTCCAATACATAATCAAGGCTTCCCAGGGCCAGTAATGAAGTAATACCCGTATTAGAGGTAATGAGGCTTGCCCCTTCATCAAATACCCTCACCAATTTAGACTCTACCGGCTGCCAGACTCCAGGTTCTCCTTTGACCATGACTCTGAACACTGAAACTACTACCCCGTCCTTAAACCACCACCAACCCTACAAATATCTTAAATACTATATTTAGCCCAGCTAAATGGGACCGATTTTTCGTGATCCCCCTACAGCTCCTTACTCAGGCAACAATGCCTCCAAAAAAACAAGTGGGCAGAGTCCCTTTCCATACCAGACTCCTCAGACACCAGTCTCCTCTTCTCCCCCTCATAAGAAAACCTTTGTCCCACAAAACTCTCCAACCAATTCCACTGCAGAAACTATGGAAGACATTCAAAGCTATATGCTTGAGACACAAAATTCCACGAATCATGCTCCTCCACACTCGAAGTGATTGCCGATATCCATACCCCTCCTACTCATATTCCCACTACACCCCTTCCTCCTCCCTCTCAACACAACCTAACCCCCTCAATTCCATCCTCCTGAAATCCATCCCCCTCTTACCCATAGCACCCCTACACCCCTTCCTCCTAATCCCTCCCAAGACAACACATCCCCTTCAACTCCAACCATCCATCCTTCCAATATCCATCCTCCTACCATTAATATTCCCCCCTCACCACTTCCTCCTACTCCCTCCCAACACAACCCACCCCCTTCAACTCCCAACTATACGTACATTCTCTCTCCCTACATACCCTCTATCCTTTCCACTCCCTCCCGGATACACACGGGAATCACTCATGTCACAACACCCCCTAGCTCCTCCCCCCCCAGATTCCCCAATATGTACTGGCGCTTTCACTCATAAAATAACTAAATATAGCTCTCCTACATTGGAATATTCGCGTTTTCTGTTCTCACAGACCAGACCTACATCATATCCTTGCTTCTTATAACCTGTTCTCCTTCCTCAGACGCATAAATATCCTTCACTTGATCTAATTCCCTTACCTAAACCACCATAACCTTTTCCCTCATCAACCCCCTAACCCATCTCCAACTTTTCAACATTAGATAGTTGACGCTTAGCAACTATCACCTGACATCACCCTTTACTATAATATTCCTATAGTGCTATATGACGACCTTAGATGTCTAGCACATTTATTTCGCTTTTAACCATTAACCATTTCCATACCAGACGCGATCGCTCTCGTCTCGTAACAGTCAGGTGGGAAACTGAAGCTATAGCATTATCGAATCTAATTGATCACTCTGTCAACCCCATTCCTGAAGAACCTCATCCTCATTTAATACCTGTACCGGAATGGTCTCTATCTCCCCAACAAACTGCTCAGTCGATGCCAAAAATTGGTCAGACTGTGGAGAAGACTTACTCAAATGCCTCAAAGACCAAGACGTGAAGTCAGTACATTGCTACACCATTCCTCCAAGAGGTCATCGAAAGAAACCCACCAACATTGCCAAAATTACTTTCCGTACACATGACCTTCCCTTTCGTATCTACATTGGTGGACAATCCCTCCCTGTTCAACCATACCAACTTCCTCCCCGTCAATGTCAAAATTGTTGACGACTTGGACAACCTGCCAAACACTGGCGCTTCACAGACCGATGCCCCCTATGTACCTAACCCGGTCATAACAGATCAAACTGCTCTGCACAAACACGCACATGTGCTAACTGCGGCGGCCCCCATAATGTATTTTATAGAGGCTGTCCCACTTAGAGGTTCGAGTCTGAGGTAACAACTCTCAGATACAAGAATGGTCTCACTCTACGTGAAGCCAGACATGAAGCACGCCGACAGGGTTTCTCTTATACTCCCTACTCCAGTAATGTCGCTCGATCTGTCCCTACACCCTCCCCTATATCTACTTACTTCCCCACTTCCACTTCTACATTCAGCCTCCCCCAGTCAAATTCTTTTGCCACTCTAAATCCAGACACCCCAATCTCAACTGGAGCTCCATTCTCAACTACAGCCCCAACACCGCCCCCTCTCCCTCCCCGCACTATCTGCAGCAGACAGACTAAACGTCCCCCCCCTTCTTCCCCTACTGCACACTCACCTCCACCTACCTTTGCCATTATTCCTCAGACATGTCTCCTCTTCCCCCCCCCCTCATAAGAAAACCTTTGTCTCACAAAACTCTCCAATCAACTCCACTGCTAAAACTATGGAAGATATCCAAAACTATATGCTTGAGTCACAAAATTCCACGAATCATGCTCCCTCCACACTCGAAGTCACTGCCGATATCCATCCCCCTCCTACTCATATTCCCCCTACACCTCTCCCTCCTACTCCCTCTCAACCCAACCTACCCCCATCAGTTCCGCATACTACCGATATCCATCCTGCTGATACTACCGATATCAACCCCCCCAATCCCTTGCCCGTTGTTGTCGTGGGGGGGCTTAGGAGACGGAGACTGAGAGCCCATGCAGGGATCTTCCCTGCCTAGGGCTTCAGCCCTCGACTCAGCTAATTTTGCATGGTCTTTTCCCTCTCCAGCTCTCTGTTTCCATCCCTTCTCCAAACCCTTCTACTATCTACTTCCTAAGGTGTGAGAGCCGTGCTGAAAGGTTGAAAGGCTGACCTTGTGCCAGTCCTGAACGGCCTGCGGGAACTATGGGCACGGTACTCCCGACTAATCTAGCCCTTACCTTTCATTAGCGATGGAGTTGGACCAGTTGATGCCTTTTATATAATCCAGGTTCCCCATGACCAGTAATGAAAATGTAATCCCTTTATTAGAGGCAATGAGGCTAGCCCCTTTATCAAATAGCCCCAACCCAGGCTCTCCTTTGACCACGGCTCCGAACACTGAAACTACTACCCAATCAATCTCCAGAAGACATTCCTACCCACCCAACTTCCTCAAATTCATCAACTCTACCCCGCAACTTCATCAAACAACCAATCCTCCCTTATTACTACCTTGCAGCCTTATTCTCCATCATTCCGTAATACTCCCTCTTCCACACGTCCCCGACCATCCACCACCACCAACCCTACAGATATCTTAAATACTCTGTTTAGCCCAGCTAAATGGGACCGATTTTTCGTGATCCCTTCTACAGCTCCTTACTCAGGCAACACTCTTCTCTTTCAACAATGCCTCCAAAAACAAAGGTAGAGTCCCTTTCTATACCAGACGCGATCGCTCCCGTCTTGTAACAGTCAGATCAGAAACTGAATCTATAGCACTATCAAATTTAACTGATCATTCTGGCAACCCCATTCCTGCAGAACCTCATCCAACCCTTAATACCTGTACCGGAACTGTCTCTCTCTCCCCAGCAAACTGCCCAGTCGATACCAAAGATTGGTCAGACTGTGGAGAAGACTTATTAGGATGCCTCAAAGACCAAGATGTGAAATCAGTACATTGCTACACCATTCCTCCTAAAGGTCAACGAAAGAATCCGACCAACATTGCCAAAATTACCTTCCGTACACATGACCTTCCCTTACGTATCTCATTGGTGGACAATCCCTCCCTGTTCGACCATACCAACCCCCTCCCCGTCAATGTCAAAACTGTTGGCGCTTTGGACATCCTGCCAAACATTGCCGTTCCACAGACCGATGCCCCATATGTGCCCAACCTGGTCATAATCGATCAAACTGCTCAGCACAAACACGAACATGTGCTAACTGCGGCGGCCCCCATAATGTATTTTATAGAGGCTGTCCCAC